TCTTTCCCAGTAACTTCTAGCTCAAATTCAAAACGTGTTTGTGTTAAAGCTCATCTTTTACAAACAGATGGCTTCAATTAAATGTTTTTAATAAAATTCTATTGTTTAATTCAGGGTAAAATTAATGCATTCTTTTTGTCCATTAATTTGTAGACCTATGGTATCCAGCTAACAGAACTTACCAAGCCTTTACTACTCAATGACTGGCATCAGTAATTTCTTATACATGCAGGTACTTCTGATATGTGAACTTCTGACATCTTCCCTTGTTGCTTATAAAAGTAAATAGCTGAATCCTTTGATAGGCTCTAATTACATGGTAAATTGCCTAGTTATTAAATTGATCTTAAAAAAAACTAAAGAAAGCAAATTTTACCCTCTGTAGCACGAATCTGTGGTCTTATTTTTGCCAGATTAAAACAAGCAGAATCCAAGTGTGATACTGCCATAAATTACTTAACATGTATTTATTACTGGAAAAGCATACAGAAAGAATTTCTTCCTACCCTAAGTTGCTGACTCAAAAACCACTTTGACTTTACTCTCATGCAGGAAGCACATTCACTCCTAAACTTCCCCTTCAAACTGCTCCTTGTGACAGGAGCCCTTCTTGTTTGGAGGGGCCACACCCTTTCATGCACATACAGCAGCTCTATTAAACAGCCACAAATTACACAAACTTAAAGTGTTACATTTTTTCTTTAAATGCTGTTTTCCCACTCCAGGACATAAGTGGGCCTCATTAGCAAGCAAATTGAAGGTGGTCATTATGCATTTTTGCATTTAGAGATAAATTTTTGCTATTAAAGAACATACATGGGTAACTTCTAAAAATTAATGGTGGCAGTGTTCACATCTTCCTGAATATCTTCTCCTCAAACATACTAGCCAACTGCAAGATACTAAAAAAAGCCACCTTTAAAAAACAACGTTCTGACAAAAATATCCCAATTTTAGTAATATTCTATTAATTCAGATCATTATTTATGATGTCTTCCAAAGATGCAAGATCAGGTAAGTAATGCTGTGTTTATCTCCGGCTTGTTGTATTTCAAAGAACAGAAGGTGATGCAGGGACCAGAACTCCTGTCTTGATCCTTTAGTAGCACTTGAGCTACTATAATGGCAACTAGGAATGGGAGTGGCTCCATAGCTCTTAGGTGTAACTATCAAATAAAAGACCACAATGACGAACATTTTCATAAATTTTTCACTTACAGTAGGACAATCTCTTACAGTTAACATACACATTTACCAGAACAGGTTTGCTAAACTTCAGCCAAAGGTAAAAGCACTGCATCCCACACAACATTTCAAGTTTCATCTCAAGCTCATAAGCACCCCCATATCAACTGGCTTCACAATAATTCCATTGTTACTGGCAATCTCTGGTAAGTAATGGGCACAATTCCCAATAAATACTTTCCTCAAGGTAAATGCCCCTCCACTATTCCCCCTGGTTCTTTTATCACTCTT